ACAAGGAAGGTTAAAAAAGCTAAGGGACCTGCACCCATCACAGATAGAAGAAACCCCAGGAAGCCAGCCCTCTTGACAGGTTGGCAGGTGGCATGCACACAACAGTCTCCTGGCCCTGTCTGGAGTCTCCCCACAAGGCCCCCAGAGCCTGCCTCCCCAGGGGAAGAGAGTGAATGTTTGTAGCCTGACGTGGGGTGTTGGCCTTGGGCACAGTGGAGACATTATGCCTGCCAGAGAGCATGGCAGTGCTGTCATCCCTGAGGGGTTGCCAAGGCAGGCGTTTGCTGGGTTTAGCCTAGGAGAGAGCCTAAAGAATCCACAGCCCCTCCGCCCACACCCCGACCCAGGGAAGGGGTGATGCTGCCTGAACGGGGGCTGATGCTTGCTGGGTTTGGTTCCATTTCCTGTTAATCCTGCACAAAGGAAGTGTTCTCCCACTGTCATGGCCAAAGGCCAACACTCTCCATGTCTCCCACCTCCTGGCCCTTGCTGGGGTGGTAGAAGGGAGGGGCTTCGACCTTCTCCTATGACCTTCGATCTTCTTCTTTCCCCTTTGTATAGTCCTGCCATGCCTTAGAATCCACCACATTTGCTCACCTACGTGTACACAAACCCAAATATACATATCCCTGTACATTATGTGTCCAGATGCCCCTCGCACGTGCCCACAGGGGCTCTACTCCACCCTGGAAGGCCATTCTGCCACGTTTCCTAGAGGCTTCTTCCTAGAGTAGGGCATGGGCAGGAATGAAGGGCCTGGTTTCAGGTGCCAGCTGTCCTAGCCACATGTTCATTTCCGGGCAAGAGGAAACGTCCCCAAGGATTAAAGAGCGTCACAAACCCATGACACAGGAAATTACATCCTACAGGGTGGGGAGTGAGGGGGAGCTTCCGCTGACTAAAAATATTTCCCCTCCTCCCAACTTCCGCCCAAAGGTTGAGAAGAAACTGGGTGAAATTATGAATTCAAGGAACAGTGACAACGAGGAACAGCCACGTGGCTGACAGGGTGTGCTGATGAAATTCAGCCCTGGGGAAGGGACACTTACATGCAGGACGGAGCCCGGAGCTCTTTCACATATTTGCATTCTCCATGGATGCAGAAGTCCTTATATTTCCGAAGACATGGGTCTCTCTTCTTCCCTAAGCCCCTGCCTTTCTTCTTTCTTTTCCCATGCTCCTCCTTGCTTGGTGTGGCCAGAGCTTGTGGCTTGGAGGAGAAAGCAACTGCAGGAGAAAGGCACCCTGTTAAGTCTTTGGCTCTTCAGTGGGGAAGAACAGAACAGCTCGGCATTTGCAAGGAGTATGTACCCTTCCTGCCACCTGATGTCAGAGCCTGGAAAGGCCCCTTGGCTTGGTGCCTCCCAAGGGCTGAAGGTAAATTGGGCAGAACCATCATAAAGAAGGAACCTCAGCAGGAAGTAGAAGCTAGGGTGGGTCCCAAGGAAGGGATTTCACAGTCTCATTCTGAGGATGCTAGCTTCTGTCGAGTAACGACAGCTAGTTGGGCAATTCTACCAAACTCACACCCACCCCACTGTCCACCCTCTATCATCTCCTACTCCCCTACACCCATTTCATTTTGTTTTGGCAAATCAGCCTCATTTCCTGATGCTGTACTCAGTGACCCACTTGCAGAAAGTGTCACAGGCAAAATCTGCCTCTGGAGAAGGTACTTGGAGGTTATATGAGTAGAAGGCTCCTAAAATAAAAACAGTGTCTGTATGTTTAGGCAGCCCCCTCTGGAGCACCCATTAGAACCAGGGGACCATGACCTCAGGGTAGAGCCCGGCTCAGGAACAGCAAACAGAGCCATCCCTGGTCAGGGCCTTGCTTTTTCAAATTCAAATAAAATATTTACCCTGTTCTATGCCCTTTACAGCTTGCCAACTTTCTCAAAGATCCATTTACATTTATCCCTAAATGTCCTGTTCAGAGCTCTCTGGGATGGAGGGGTACAGTGTGTACAAGAGGTAGAGAGATGGAAAGTAAGGAACTGTCTAGAAGGAACTGGAACAACGATGACTGCCCCCTTCTTTCCAGGCTTCAGTGAGTAGAGGAAAAACATCTTCATCTAGACATCCAGTGGGACTGACCATGGGCTATGCGCACCAGCCAGGGGTTCGATGCCAGCCCCATCCTAACACCCCATTCCCCCCATCCTAGCAGAAAAAAACGTGCCCACATCCACACGGCTACAGTCATGTGTCTAGCAGAGGGTTGAGCATGACATATTAGACTGGAGACTTAGAATCCTCAAGCTGGAAGTGACTTCAAAAAATATCATGACCCTCCATTTTCAGATGAAAAACTTTAAGTCCCAAAAGGCACAGTGACTTGCCCAAGGTCACGCATGTTTGGGATTAGAACTATGGTCTCTGAACTCTACATCCCACGTTCTTTCCCACTGCACCCAGCTGCCTCACACACCCCTATCTATCTCCTCCCTCCCATAAATGTGGAGCACTGAGGTGTTGAGCTGGGAATGAATGGGCTCTGAAGTCAGTAGGCCTGTGCTCCAATTTCAGTCATGGGCCCTTGGGCAAGTCACTTAACCTCTTTGAGCCTCAGGGGTCTCGGTTTAAAGTGGGTAGTGAGGCTGTGCATAGTGGCTCATGACTGTAATCCTAGCACTCTGAGAGGCTGAGGTGGGAGGATCGCTCAAGGTCAGGAGTTCAAAACCAGCCTGAGTGAGCAAGAGTGAGACCCCATCTCTACTAAAACTAGAAAGAAATTAACTGGCCAACTAAAAACATAAAAAGTGGGTAGCGAGAGTAACTATCTCAGAAGGTTGCTACGAGGATTAAATTAACTAGGATAACATATCAAATGCCTAGAACACAATAGGCATTTCATAAATGGTAGCAGTTATTTATTTTAGGTGATAGGATCCCCAAACCTGAAAACCAATCCTCACCTTCCAAAGCCAAGAGAAGAGAAGTAGGTACCCGCGGCCCCACGGTCCCTAGTTTCCTCTGGTCCAGTCCCAGGCCCCTTCAGAGCTCAGAAAGTAAGGCCAGTGATCAGAGGAACCCAGGGCCCCGAGAGAAGGCAAGGCAGGAGGGCCAAGCCATCAGAAAGAGGGAGAGAGTGCAGGGTGACAGCCAGTGTCCCGCCGTGGACAGGGAGCAGTGAGTCAGGTCTGCAGAGGTATGAGGAGCAGCCGTGTGGGTGTGGGGTGAGTCACAGTCCAGCCCTGCCCAGCTTAGGAGGAGAGGGCCAGGAGAATCCAGGCTGTTCAGGCCATGGGCGACCCCAGAAGGCCACTGTGAGAGCATGCAGTATGGAAGCCCAGGCTCAGCTTTGGAGCAGACTCTTGATTTATACAAAGTAGACAGAGCACTCCAGGGAAGCTCCTGGTAAGGAAGGAGAAGGGCACCTGAAGAGCAGGCAGGGTGAGAACAGGTGGGCATCTTTCCAACCAAATATGGTCATTCCGGGGCTACAGGGCTTAGTCCCTGCTCCACCCTGGAGAATCGCTGCAGGTGGCGGAGGGCAGGGAATCTGGCAGGCTCTGGACTCTGCCCTGTGCCTGCACTCAGCCACAGCCACATACATGGTTGTAGGATCTCATGCAGCCCTTCCCCCTTGAGTCTCCCTAGAAACTCAAAGCGGTTTAGGAGGCCTGCAGGCTTGCAGGAGCATCAGATACCCAGCACTTCAATCAGCCCCTGAGGGACCCAGTGCTCTCCATTCATTGCCTACCACAGAGGTGCTGTCCTCACCTAGGGAGGCCAAGAGTTCCTCATCCCCTTTGTTTCCCCAACCTGGAGACAGGTGGATGGAAGAGACTGACACCGCACACTTTCTATGTGCCTGGGCATCACCACATCGGTTGTATCTATTTTATACATCGTAGTCACTTGATGTGGGAATTAGGGCTTGTGCCCATTTTTACATAGGAAGTCTAGGGAAAGAATACCAACCATTCCTTTTTCCTGTCACCCAGCTTACCTCACAGGAATGTACCAACCCCAGACAACTTGCCTGTTTCAATTTCTCCAAAGTACCCAGAGGGGAACCAAGCCGGCAGGTGAGACAAGGACAAGAAAGACAGTGGGATCTATATTTCAGAATCCCCCAGTCCCCTGCCAGGCCGATCAGCTTTTCCTTAAGGTCCTCCAGGAATACTCCCAAACCACAGGGGTGCCCAAACAGCATGGATCTCAGATCCGCTTATTCCTCAACTGCCCACCAGGGTCCAAGGATGGGTGGCCCCATACCCACCTCTAAAAAGGTCCAGATCTCCCTCTTCCAAGTCAAGGACTTCCCGGTCCCGGCCGCCTCCAGAGGGTAGCAGCTGGTCCGTAGATCCAGTGGGAGGGTCTGGGTTGCTGGTTCCAGCCGCCAGCCCTCTCCGAATCCTCTCCAGGCTCTCGCCAGTCACCAGCGCCGAGAGCACTGCGGGCGAGGACGAGGCCGCATCAAACCCCCGCCCAGACCCCTGGCCAGCAAGCACCGATGCCGACGCCCGTCCGCGAGGGCGCGCGGGCCCCACCAAGTGGCCCGCGCCGGGGGCGCCGCAGCGACCTTCCCCCGTGCCCCCAACACAGCACCCCATCCCCCCGACCTCCGGGGGCGTCAGCAGCCCTCTTACCTGCAGCCAGAAAGAGCTTCGGCACCACCGACGGCAGCAGCTTCATGGTCCCGGACCGAGTCGAGGCAGCGAGGCAGCAATCACTTTGGAGGCGGCGGCCGCTGGGCGCTGGCACGCGAGCTGGGTGGCGGAGCGCAGGGGATTCGGCCGGGCACTGCGTTCTGCCTGCCTCCGGGTGCAAGCGTGGCCGGGACCTGCGCGCAGCTCGCGCCCGCCGAGCGTCTGTCTGCTCACTTTGCTGTCCGCGCGTCCAGCCGACCCCCGCCCCTCGCTCGGGCCCCCAGCGGCGTGCGGCGCGGCTCCCACGGCAGACTGAGCGCCCCGGCGCGCGGCCGGGGATAAGGCTCCCGAGGCGCCGAAGCTCCGCCCCGCCGGCGCCGCCCCGCCCCCTCCCGAGCCGGGAAACCCGCCCGGCTCGCGGCGCCGGCAGCTCAGCCCCCCGCCCGCGGGCGCGGCTGGGGAGGAGGACGGGAGGAGGGGGGCGGCGCTCACATTTTTTGGGAGCAGGCCAGGACAGCCGCCGCCTGACCGTGGGCAGGGCTGCTGACCGGCAGGTGGCAGGGAGCAGTTCCTACCTATCCCCAAACGCGTGTCCTGCTGTGGCTTTGTGACTGCCGAGTTCTTTCCGGGCCTGGTCCTATGGACAGTCCCTGCTCCATACCAGGAGTCTCCACTCGTGTCACTCTCCGAGTTTCAGAAGCTCACCTTTTTGCCTTCCAACACAGCACGTAGTAAACAATAACAATTCGTTTATCATTTAAAAATTAGACATTTGAATGTCAGCAGTTCTCAAGAGCCGGAGATAACCGGAGATGAAGTTGCAGGCACTTGGTATCAATCCAGCAAAAGCAAAGGAAGTTAGTATTCTCCCAGACGCTGGAGTGGCTTTCCCCTGTCTTTCTCCCCAGGGGACATTAAAATTTTTGAATTATGGATTCTAATTCCCAGGCTTCTGGGGTTGTAAAACATGCCTCATACTTTCCCCTGCCTTTGAATGCCACTTTCTTCCCCAACATAAAAAGTGAGCTTCCTTTCCATAGGATCCAGCTGGTTAACCTACATGGCTATGTTCAACAGGTGCCCGGTGTCTCTCTTCCAACCCATGTATTTTTACCGGGGTCTTCTGGAGTCAATGTCCTGACCCAAAGAAATGACTCTCTCAGTAGGTATTTCAGCTCCCAGGGACGTGCTGGGGAGGGAGTTGACACAGGACTGGGTTGGCATTCAGAGCCCTCAAATTGTGCCAGATAGAACACTTCCCTGATTCTGCCTGTGTGTAGGGATAAAAACAGGCCTGTTATTTATACACAGTCTATCCCACTGTCCCTACCTACCCCCACCTTTGCAGGGGTCAATCTGGCTCTACACTCTTGCCCCTGGCAACCCTCCTCAGGCTTAGGTTTTCATAGTGCACTAGACTCACCCCAGACATGAGTTTGAATCCTGCCTTTGATACTATGTGACCCTGGAAAAAATGCTTAATCTCACTGAGCCTCAGTTTTCACATCTCAAATGGGAATAATAACAATAATAATAATGCCTACTTTGTACAGAGCTTTTTGAGGAAGGAATGAGGGAACACATATAGTATGGTGCCAGGCATAGCATAAATTCTCAATAAATGTGACCTTTTGTGATTGTTGTTGTTATGGTTATTATCATTAAGCATTCACCTTGACCATTCTATTTCCTTAGAGACCTCTTTTCTCTCCCTTCCCTAGACCCTTTGCCTGCCCCTAGGCCAGGTTTAAGGCTCTACATTGTAGTTGGACTGGTTTCTGATGGAAGCTCACCTGTCGCCTATTTGGCCAAGAGCCACTGTGAGATTATTCCTTTGGGTGATCAGTATCAGGCCTAAGACCGCACTGGATGTCACCACCCAGGCCACACCTTTGTCCTCCCTCCCCAGCTGCTTGACTACCTGCTTCCCAAAAACAAAACCACCTCAGGGTCAGGCTCTCCTCAGGGGAGGGTGGAAGGAAACACTTCCTGACACATGGCCAAATCACCCCCTTCCCCCACCCGCTGCCAGATTCACACCCTGCTCTCCTGTCCCAGCCTGCCTCTCCCTTCTATGCTCTGTCCTTCCGCCTTCTCACCCCCACATCAGCCTGAGCCCTGTTCATGGGGCAACTCCAAGCTTTCATCACACCTGAGAGCCTCACCCCAGCTAGGTTTGTATGTCAGCCAGGTTTTACAGGAAGGGCCTGAAGAAAGACGATAAAAGGTCTGAATTGGATTTGGGACAGCCATTTCCCCTCTGAGAACTTTGGGTATCCACTGACCAAAGAAAGAAATCACAATCCATGCTCGGGCAAACTAATGAACTCATTTATTCCACAAACCTTCACTGGACACTGTTCAGGCGCTGGAGACACAGCAATAAACAGGACAGCCAAGGAGCTGCTTTCATGGAGCTTACATTCCATAGTAGACAGGCAACACATTAAGTACATAAACAAGGAAAAATATATCCTATAGTGATAAGTGCTAAGATGAAGTTAAAATACAATGATGTGCTATGGGATGGTGTGTCCCAGTGCCCAGGATGACACTTTAGATTTGATGACTGATTAGCAAAGCCTTCTCTGAGCAGGTAACATGGAAGCTGAGGCGTGAATAAGAAGATACCTCGAGATCAGGAGTTCGAAACCAGCCTGAGCAAGAGTGAGACTCCGTCTCTACTATAAATAGAAAGAAATTAATTGGCCAACTAATATATATAGAAAAAATTAGCCGGGCATGGTGGCACATGCCTGTAGTCCCAGCTACTCGGGAGGCTGCTGTGAGCTAGGCTGACGCCACGGCACTCACTCTATCCTGGGCAACAAAGCAAGACTCTGTCTCAAAAGAAAAGAAGAAAGATACAGATTTGTTTTCATCCATGGCAAAAGCATTTCAAACTGTAAATAGTGCAAAGACTCTGAGATGGAAACAAGCTTGGAGCATCCAAAGAACAAGAAGAAAGCCAGAAAAGGAGGGATATAAGAAGACATTGGATCAAAGGCTAGGGATAGATCATAGAAGATGTTATAAGCCAAGGTAAACACTGGACTTTATTCCCCATTATTGCGAGAATCAAATGAGATGTTAATGGGAAATCACTGTCATGCAAGATTCCTCCTTATCCCCCCACTTCCTGCTCAGGTGTCCCCCAACTGCTCTCCGGCTGTCAAGTGCCAGGAACACATCCTAAGGAAGCAGAGTTCAAACAGGCATCTCTGCTTTTATTGACTGTCTATTGCCTATGAGCAAACTGAGGCTTGGAGACTGGCCCTTGGCCACCGGTGAGTCAGAAGGGGGCAAAGCCAGAGCACAAACCCTGGCATCCTGCTTCCCAGCCCATGCTGGGTTCCCAGGCTCTGGAAAGGCAAGGCTCCATGGGACTCTGATTGCCACTGACTCATTGCAAGGCCAGAGTCCTTGATTTGGGGAGAGTACTCACAAGCCAATGGGAAGGACCTGGGAGAAAGGGGTGCTGGTGGTGACAAGGGGAGCAGGGGATTTGGAGAGGAACCAACCAGAGTTCCTTCCCCATTGTGACTGAGATGTCTATGCTAGTAGTTTGGTTCTCCCAAACCTGGCTGTGCACTAGAATTACCAGGGAATTTATTAAAGATAAAAAGGCCCAGGCTCTATCCCAGTCCTCCTAAATAAAAATCTCCTGGGGTGGTGCCCAAGCACGTGTACTTTTGGCAGGTAATTCTTACATCAGCCAGGTTCAGAAGCATTGGCTACGTAACTAATTATGATAATATGTCAAACATCTGAACAAAATCTGAATCTCTAAGGCAGAGGCAGAGGAGTTTAAGTAATGACAGTTTCCATATGCACAACACTTCACATGCATTATCTTGCTTAAACCTCACAGCAGCCCTAAAACCAGACACTGTTATTATCATCATCCCCATTTTAAAGGGTTGAAACTAAAAATGGTAACAGCCCACAGTCACCCAACTAGTGAGGATCTCAGCCTCAATTTGAATCCCTTTCTTACCTGAGCTTGTGCTCTTAAGCTCATCACTACCCTGAGCAAATGCAGGAGGTGACAGCTGCCCTCTCTCTACTTCCATGGACAGTAACATTGTCAGTACTACTGAGGTTCAGTTCTTCATCTGTCCTGGGGGGTGATAATAAGAAGCTCTGTTTCACTAGGGTGGAAGGAGGATTAGGTAAGGGCAGGGCAGCTAGTGAAATGGGTACACTCTTGGGAGTCAGATGGTTGTGGGTTCAAATTTTGTTTCTGCTATTTTTTCACTTTCTAACTTTGAACATGTTTTTCAATTTCTCTTACCTACAGTTTGCTCATCTGAAAAATGAGGATAATAATAGTAGTTATTATTATAGGACTCTTGTGATGATGCAACTGGGTTGTGTGTGGAAAGCAGAATATGATGCCTGGCGCATAGTAGGTGCTGACTTAATGACAGCTATTACTATGAACAAATGCTTTCCTTCTTTCCCTTTCTTTCTTTCCTTTTTAAGTGGGAACTTGAATTAAATGCTGTTTATCACAACCAGCAATCCTCAAAGATGATATTGTTCCTGCTGGGAGATGTCCATGCTTACGGATGAGATGATGGATCTGCAACCGAGTTTTGGAAACTTCAACCTGAGAAAGCAACCCTGAATCAGAGCTGGGAGAGAAACATGTGCTCTGTCAGGGAGAGGATTCAGCTGCCTTCTCCTTCCACTCTGACCAGAATAAGTGAGTCCTAAGCAGCCCCAGAGCTCTGCTGGGTTGGGAGAAGGGTAAAGGAGAGAGCCTCCATTGAGAGTGTTTCCAGCATCAGGTGGTCATGAGCCCAGAGTCACCTCAACTTGGAAAGTAAGGGTGAGGAATCATTGCTCCTTGCCTCAGACTGGCTTCTCTCACCCCATATGAGCCAGTTGATCTGGCAGGTCTGGGGGTGCAGCTCAATTAGAACTCAGGCCTGCCCTTTGGAGTCCCCTTGCACCTCCTCATGCTGGCTGAGGGCCCCTGGAGGTGGTGTCCTTCATGCACACCAGGGGCAGACAGGCTCTGATATCTGATTGTTTGGGGCCAGGATCCATTTGAATGGGATAAAGAATAGGAATAGGCCGGGCGCGGTGGCTCACGCCTGTAATCCTAGCTCTCTGGGAGGCCGAGGCGAGCGGATTGCTTGAGGTCAGGAGTTTGAAACCAGCCTGAGCAAGAGCGAGACCCCGTCTCTACTATAAATAGAAAGAAATTAATTGGCCAACTAAAAATATATAGAAAAAATTAGCCGGGCATGGTGGCGCATGCCTGTAGTCCCAGCCACTTGGGAGGCTGAGGCAGAAGGATTGCTTGAGCCCAGGAGTTTGAGGTTGCTGTGAGCTAGGCTGATGCCACGGCACTCATTCTAGCCTAGGCAATAAAGCGAGACTGTCTCAAAAAAAAAAAAAAAAAAAGAATAGGAATAAATGAAATATGGAGAGGATATTGGGGGCAGAAGATCAGGAATCTCTGTCATCCCCAGAAGATGATGAGGAACGGACATTTATAATGTGCTAGATTCCAAACCATCCTTCTCCATTTCTGGGCCCATTTTTGTGACTTTGAGTGATTAACATCTCCAGACCCAGGGCTTTGTCCCTTCAGCTATCCCCTAACAGATGGCTCTCTGCCAGCAGGGAGGGGAAGTGATTCCTCCCTCATCACACAATCCCTCTCCCTCTGCAAGCCTCAGATTCCTCACATGAGGGCTTGGAACAATTATCCTGTATTCCAGCAATGGCCAGTGATGTTCATCATGAATTGGCTGCTGTCATGCTGCTGTCAAAATACATGCTGAGACAATTCTATGACAATTGGCAGTGCCTGGTCTACAGGGCATGATAACCTTTCTCTCTGTACCTCAGCTTCTTCGTCTACAAGTGAGGAGAAGAACAATCTACGTAGGGGGTTCTTGTGACAGCTGAACGAAATAGCATCTCTGAAGTGCTTGGCAAAATGAAAAGCTCTATATAAACAGGTTGGTACTCTTGTTAACTATTCCAGTGCTTAACCTTGGAATGCGGTCACATCACATTCTGGTACCAAGAATGTATAAGTTTGGTTCCTTCTAGAAAGGTAGTCATCCAGCTGAAATTTTTTTTTTTTTGAGACAGAGTCTCGCTTTTTTGTTGCTAGGGCTAGAGTGAGTGCTGTGGCGTCAGCCTAGCTCACAGCAACCTCAAACTCCTGGGCTCAAGCAATCCTTCTGCCTCAGCCTCCCAAGTAGCTGGGACTACAGGCATGTGCCACCATGCCCGGCTAATTTTTTCTATATATATTAGTTGGCCAATTAATTTCTTTCTATTTATGGTAGAGACAGGGGTCTCGCTCTTGCTCAGGCTGATTTCGAACTCCTGACCTCGAGCAATCCGCCCGCCTCGGCCTCCCATAGTGCTAGGATTACAGGCGTGAGCCACCGCGCCCAGCCGTCATCCAGCTGAAATTTAACAATTCATCCATTTGCTCTTTTTCATAACCCAGGTTTGGTCTAAGACAATGGTTTGCAAAAAAAGATATATTGCCCCCTAGGGGACATTCTAGGAATTTATGGGAGAATCTTTGGTTATCTCTGACTGGGGGAGTCCTCAGGCATATGGGAACAAAAGGCAGAGCAGGCTCATGTGATTAAGAATTAACCCATAGGTATATGCAAACATAATGAATGAGATATGCAATGTCTAGGGGATAGTCACATTTGAAGCTCTGACTCGAGGGGGGAGGCGGGGTATGGGCAATATATGTAACCTTAACATTTGTATCCCCATAATATGCTGAAATTAAAAAAAAAATGGAAAAAAAAAAGAATTACCCCATCGAAGGGGCGCAGTGGTTCACGCCTGTAATCCTAGCACTCTGGGAGGCTGAGGTGGGCGGATTGCTCAAGGTCAGAAGTTGGAAACCAGCCTGAGCAAGAGCAAGACCCTGTCTCTACTAAAATAGAAAAGAGATTAATTGGCCAACTAAAAATATATAGAAAAAATTAGCTGGGCATGGTGGTGCATGCCTGTAGTTCCAGCTACTTGGGAGGCTGAGGCAGTAGGATCGCTTGAGCCCAGGAGTTTGAGGTTGCTGTGAGCTAGGCTGACGCCACGGCACTCTAGCTTGGGCAACAGAGTGAGACTCTGACTCAAAAAAATAATTACCCCATGGCCGGTCCCAGAGCAGTGGTATTTGTAGTCCATCACAACCAATTACAGATTTCTTTGTTCCTTCTTCATTCCCATTGCTTCACTTGACAAGCCTTAAAAAAAAATTACCCCACATTCTGCAGTGGTTTTATTTTGTTTTTGAGATAGGATCTTGCTCTGTCACCTGGGCTAGAGTGTAGAGGCATCATCATAGCTCACCGCAACCTCAAACTCCTGGGCTCCAGTGATCCTCCTGCCTCAGCCTCCCAAGTAGCTAGGACTATAGGTTGACACCACCACACTCAGCTAATTTTTCTAATTTTTGCAGAGATGGGGTCTTTCTCTTGCTCAGGCTGGTCTCAAACTCCTGACCTCAAGCAATCCTCCTGCCTTGGCCTCCCAAAGGACTAGGATTATGGTCATGAACTACAGTGCCCAGCCTTCCATACTGTTTTTGAGGGTCATACTGGGCACTCACATTGGTGAAAAACTTGATTGTAAGTACTTGAGTCTAGAATCATCTCTAACTTATACAAAAACATAAAAAGAATTTTTGTACTAACTTTTCTAAGAATGAAATTATCCTGAATTGTTCATTTTAGTGATATCTGAGTTACCAGTATAACACACCTATATCAGTCAGGATTTACAGCTGTCACACTCAAGTCTGTGGAAGTATAAGCAATGGGCTACTTCATTGATATTTCTAGAGTAGTTGTGACCAAGCATGTGCATATTGAAATAATGTTATGTTTAAAATACTTTTTTATATTAATTAGTGTATCAATTTTTTTAAAGCAAATGTACAAATAGTATATTATCTTTGAACTTCATTTCAGGATAGTAAAAGGGTGTTAACCACATATTTGTTACAAAAAAGGAAATATTAATTCTGAAAGGGTTGAGAACCATTCACACAGGAGACACATGAAAAGCCTTTCTATATCCTTTGTAAGAGTGCCGTTCTAGATACTATGCCATATAAGGTCCCATGAGATAAATTACTCTTTTTTTTTTTTTGAGACAGAGTCTCGCTTTGTTGCTCAGGCTAGAGTGCCATGGCATCAGCCTAGCTCACAGCAACCTCAAACTCCTGGGCTCAAACAATCCTGCTGCCTCAGCCTCCCAAGTAGCTGGGACTACAGGCATGCGCCACCATGCCCGGCTAATTTTTTCTATATATATTAGTTGGCCAATTAATTTCTTTCTATTTATAGTAGAGACGGGGTCTTGCTCTTGCTCAGGCTGGGTTCGAACTCCTGACCTCGAGCAATCCGCCCTCCTAGGCCTCCCAGAGTGCTAGGATTACAGGCGTGAGCCACCACGCCCAGCCAACGATAAATTACTCTTGTGTAGTCTTGGCTGTTGTGACTATCTGGTATGGGTACTTCCTTTTAATAGATAATAATTATAGAACTCATATGTTCCCTTTTCACTTCAACTGCCAGGAAGCTCACAGTTAAATTCTGGGGCTCAGTTGCAGTGGTTATCCCTAGCCCAACCATTTTTAGGACAATTTCTTTCTTCTCCAATTTGATTTCATTATAGGGATCCTTAATCATTCTTTAAATGTTTACTTGTCCCCATGCCTTTTGTTGTAAGCCACCTTCATATCTTTTCTGGAAGTACGGGGAGCTTAAATGATGAATGTGCAATTTATATCATGAACCTGCAGTTTCCTTGCCAATACTTCTTAAGTCTGGAAGTCTAGGTCAGAGGGGCCTGGACAGCCTGAGTCAGAGCAGTCTGTGGCTCCTGCAGACTCCATCTCTCTGTTACCTCTTCCTCTTTCCTTCAAAGGTCTTCACCTTTGTGAAGCATTGTATGGGCATTGTGAGGAGTAGAAGCAGGTTCCAGCTGTCATAGCCCACTCTGAGTCTTGGCTAGATTTTGGTGGCCCGAGGTCAAGATGGCATCAGGGAAGAGTACCCCAGCTCCAGGGTCAGGGAAGTCCAAAGCTCCAAGTGGAGAGACTCTCCATAAACACTCCCCCAGCACGTCTGCGTCTCTCAGAGCAGAGGCTTTGAAGCCCAGGCTAGGGCATCAGCGTGATCCCTTTTTGAACCTTGGGTACACCAGTCCCTAGCTCTGCCTCTCTGAGTCTCAGTTTCCTCATTCAGAAGTGGGAATGATACCTACCTCAAAGAGTTATTGGGAAGACAGACTGAGATAATCCGGGCAGTACTAAGGCAGTGCTTAGAACATAGTGAGCGCTCAGTACCTAGCAGCTGCTACTCATCCCAGTCTACCTGGAATGGTGTTACTCACATGCTTGTCTGCCTACCCCCGCCCCCGCCCCCAGTGAACTCCTGCAGGCAAGAGTGTGCATTAAACCTCAGCTCCTCACTCATAAGCTCAGCGACCACAGCACAGGCTTAATGTTTCTGAGCCTCGGTGTTCTTACTAATAAAGTTGGGATAATGAAGTCTACTTCAAATTTTTAAGTGAGCAAAACTATTAACAGTGGTTATTTGGGAGCAAGGGCATTATAAAAAAAATTGTGTTATTTTTACCCATATGGGTATTTTCTTTTTTTCTGTAACAAACATGAAATATTTATGTATACAAGTCACTTTTAAAAATATACTTTTTCGGCCGGGCGCGGTGGCTCACGCCTGTAATCCTAGCACTCTGGGAGGCCGAGGCGGGCGGATTGCTCGAGGTCAGGAGTTCAAAACCAGCCTGAGCAAGACCCCGTCTCTACCAAAATATAGAAAGAAATTAATTGACCAACTAAAAATATATATACAAAAAAAATTAGCCGGGCATGGTGGCGCATGCCTGTAGTCCCAGCTGCTCGGGAGGCTGAGGCAGGAGGATCGCTTGAGCCCAGGAGTTTGAGGTTGCTGTGAGCCAGGCTGACGCCACGGCACTCACTCTAGCCTGGGCAAGAAAGTAAGACTCTGTCTCAAAAAAACCAAAAAAACCCCCCAAAAATATACTTTTTCTTTAAAAATAGCTTAAATTTATTGAGTGCTAGCTATATTTAAGGCATTGCTATAAGCACTTTACATATATTATCTCCAATTCTCACAAGAGTCCCTGAGGAAGGCAGTATTATCATCTCCATTTTATAAATGAGAAAACTAAGGCTGAAGCCTCAATTTGCCCAGTTTGTTGTGACTCTATACATGTGATGAAATGTTTTAAAACTATACACACACAGATATACAAAAGAGCACATGTAGAAACTGGTAAAATCTGAATAAGGCCTGTAGTCATGTCATTTTTTCTGGTTTTGATATTGTCCTATTGATAGGAAACATGTTACCATTGGGGCAAGCTGGATAAAAGGTACCAGCTGGAGATTTCTCTACATATTTTTGCAATTTCTTGTGAATCTGTAATTAGACTCACTTAAATAGTTTTTACTTATATTTATTTTATATCTTTGTTTTTAAATAAGTTAAAAAGTTTTTTAAATAGTGTAAGGATTATATGAGATAATGTGACTAGCACAGTGATTGGACACGATCAGCATTTTGGTAAAGGCAGTTCCTGTCCTCCCTCCTCTGGGAGTGACTTATTTTCATAGTTACATAATAATAATAGCCTCCCTTTTTTGTGTATACTAAGTACCAGGTCTATTTTATATACATTATTTCATTTAATAAAGCCTATAAAATGGGTGCTTTTATTATTTCCCTTTTGCTCATAAGAAAACCCAGGTCCAGCAGAGACATACCTCTTCCCTACTTGCTAGAAAGTGATTTACACTTGGGATTTACACCCAAGCAGTTTGTGAGGCCATAGCCTCTCCCTTAGGGTCCACTCAGTGTGCTGCAAAAGGTACGCTTTGAACCTTGGAAATCATCTACTCCAACTGTCTCCATCAACACATAAGAAAACTGAGGCTTGGTCCGGGCACAGTGGCTCACACCTGTAATCCTAGCACTCTGGGAGGCCGAGGTGGGCGGATTGCTCGAGGTCAGGAGTTCGAAACCATCCTGAGCAAGAGCAAGACCCCATCTCTACTATAAATAGAAAGAAATTAATTGGCCAACTAATATATATAGAAAAAATTAGCCAGATATGGTGGCGCATGCCTGTAGTCCCAGCTACTCAGGAGGTTGAGGCAGGAGGATCGCTTGACCCCAGGAGATTGAGGTTGCTGTGAGCTAGGCTGACGCCACAGAACTCACTCTAGCCTGGGCAACAAAGTGAGACTCTGTCTCAAAAAAAAAGAAAAAGAAAAAGAAAAAAGAAAAGAAAACTGAGGCTTGGAGAAGGAAAGGGCCTTGCTCAAGGACATCCATCAAGTCTATGATGGGGTCAGGATGGAAACCCAGTTTTTGAACTCCTATGCCAGGGTTTTTTCCAGCACCCACATCCAGGGCTGCTCTCCCACATAGCACACCTTCACTGGGCCCTGTCTAGGAACCCACTGGTACCCACAGGTACACCTGGGGTTCCTACTCATGTCCCTCACCAGCCCACCCAGCTCACGGCGCCCAGGCCCAAAGGAGGAATTGGGGCCTGGAGAGGGTGGAGGTGTGGTGGCCCACTACTCTGGGCAGCCCTGGGAGCCAGGGTGGCTGGGGGCCACAGAGAGGGCAAGGATAGACCCTCTGAACTTTGGCAGGAGTTGAGGTATGAAGGGAGGATGTATGTATTTGTATGTGTGTGGGGGGGTGGTTATTCATGCCAAGCCCATGCTCCCATCCCCCTCAGACTCCTGAGTCACTTGCCCCTAAGGTTGAGGCACATTCTTGAAGGGAGTGGTCACAGGGGTTACAGGGCCCTTTTAGCCCCTAGGCCAGTTTCTATTCCTCCTGGGACTGAAACCAGCTCCCCCTCAGACTCAACACCTCCCCACCAACTAATATAGTGACATTCTCCTCTAATTGCTGCCGGGGGAACTCCTAAGACCAGACCTGGGTTTGGTGGGGAGGGCAGGTCTGGGTCCCAAATCTCAGGGAGGGATTCCTTGTATTCAGTGAGGTGTTTGACCTACATTCATATGAGCCTGACTGGATCTCCCTTCCCGGTCCTGTGGTGCTCCCCACCCCCATCCCTCAGGGCCAATCCGCGGTGGGCCAGGGCAAGGCAGAGGATCAAGGACCCCTCCCTGCCATCTCCCCATCTTGGCGCCCAGGCAGGTCGGCTGGGGAAAAACAGCCGCTCGGCCTAAGGGAGCAGCCTCAGAAATCCTGTCCGTGGGGAGCAGCGCCCTCGTGTGGCCTCCAGGAGAAGCAGGGCTCCTTTCCCAGCCCGGTCCTTTGAATGCGCTCATTGAACAAATATTTACTGAGAGCCACTATGTGCCAGGCGCTGCTCTAGGCTCAGCAGGGAAGACAGGTACCTGCTCCACGGCCTGTAAATTTCTGTCTATGTCTCTCTCTCTGGGAAGAGGCAGGCAATAAATGATCAATAAATAAATGAGGAAGAAACTAAAACAGAGAAATGTGATGGAGAGTGGCCCAAGAGGGAAACTTAGGACAGGATGGCAAAGGAAGGTTTCCTTGAGTAGCTAACATCTGAGATGAGACCTAGTGACAGGGGTCTAGTCATGTGAAGATCTGGGGGAAAAGCTTTCCTTGCACAGGGAACAGCTCCTGCAGAGACACTCAGGCAGGGACAGATTTTGCATAGCACATGGAAAGCCAGTGTGGCTAGAAAGAGTGAGCAAGAGAAGAATGAGATAAAGTAAGAGAGGTGAGTTGGGGTCAGACTATAAATCTTGCAGACCATGACAAGGAGTTTGATTTTTCTTGTAGGAGTACTGGGAATGTACTGGGTGAATATTGAGCAGAAGAGTAATGCAGCTTGCTGGGCTTTTAAAAGGATCTGTATGGCTGCTGTGTGGAGGATGGACTTTGGGCAAGGGAGGAAGAATGGAAGCAGGGAGATTATTGCAAGACATTAGAAGGCTATTGAAATAATTTAGTTGAGAAATGATGGTGGCTTGGATCAGGGTAGTTGTGGTGGAGGTGGGAAGATGTAGTTGGATTCTGGGTACATTATGAAGGTAGAGTCAACAGGGTCAACTGAGTCAACAGTATTAATGGACCACATTCTCCTTTGTTCATTTAGTTCCAGGAACTCCTACACTCACATGCCCTAGTTGGCTCCTCCATCCTCATTGGGGGGCTGAGTTAGAGGGGCAGACTACAGGGACACAGCTAAATTGGGGAGTTTCCAAGTGTTGTTAGACAAAAGAATTTGGGACTCAGACATTGTGTTCTCCATGAACAGCCGCTATTTTCCATTATTAGCCCATATAATGGGCAGGGCCTCTCTACCTGCTGTCTCCCTTACCCTGCCTGATCTCTACAGACTAGTTATTTACTAGGTCTCTGTTTGTCCAAATGAGTGTGTGTGTGGCCCCCAGGGTGTGTTGGTGACACTCAAAACAGTCCTGGGTGTTTGGTGTTTGTATTTGATACAGGCTAGGGGGCAGCATAACATGGGGGTGTCAGCCTTCAGACCTACGCCAGCCATTTCCTCCTGTTTATTTACACAAAACACAGTGGGGTCAGACCTGATCCCAGAGAAAATGCACACACACACTTTGGCCCCAGGTTAGGCATTTTTGGAAAGCCTGGAAAAAGCCAGGTTAGCCTTGCAAACGCTCTCAGGCCAGCAGGGGGTGGGGGAGGTAAGGAGGGGAAGTGGGTGACCAGTAGGCTCTGGAGTCAACAGGCCTCACCCTGTTTGCATTGTGCTGCGGTGGGGGGTGCATTATAAATGTAGACAGCCAGAGGGCTCCTGGCTTCAGAACCTACCACTGCACTGGTTCTGAGCGTCTATGCAAGCCTCACCAGGATGAAGCTGCCAGGCCAGAAGGAGTTTGAAGCCCCTAGTGCTCATGAAAATGTTCCTGTAGGGGAGCTGGGTAGTGGCCTTGGCCCCAGCCCCAGCACCGATGGCCCCTCAGACACAGACAGCAGGGAACTGGGGGTACCCAAGGACCCTCTGCTCTTCATTCAGCTGAATGAGTTGCTGGGCTGGCCCCAGGCGCTGGAGTGGAGAGAGACAGGCAGGTGAGTGGGACCCAGGCTGGTTCTATGGAGTCCTTCCCCTTCCCCAGCTGGGGCCTGCTCCATGACTTTCAGCTCCTCCTGTGGGGCTGCTTCTCACCAAAATTAGGATTTTCCTCTGTATTCCCTTATTTGGGGGCCTCACCCTCCATCATACTCAGCCTCCTCTGCAGTCTATTTTTGAGTTCCCCAAGACCCAAGATGAGGGGTGACTCCAGGGGAGGGGCCTACTCCACATCACTGGTCCCAGAATGCCCCTACTGCCTTACTTTCCCTGGCTCCCCTGCGTTCCTGCTCCTGGGTGTGGGAGAGATACCCTCAATGACACTATCTACCCACCTTCATCACAGGTGGGTCCTATTTGAGGAGAAGTTGGAGGTGGACGCAGGCCGGTGGAGCGCCCCCCACGTGCCTACGGTGGCCCTGCCCAGCTTCCAGAACCTCCGCAGCCTGCTGGCCGAGGGCCTTGTACTGCTGGACTGTCCAGCTCAGAGCCTCCTGGAGCTCGTGGGTAGGCTGGGATCCTTTGCAGGGAGGGCCTGGGTAACCATGCCATTTCCCTAGGATTTCCTCCAAAGTCTTGGAATCTTCCAGAGCTCACCCCACTCCACCCTAGGGATTGTCTATCCTTGTTACAGAGTAGAGATGGAAAACCAGAGTACAGAAGCAAGTTCATTGATCCCTGCATTCCCTGAGACTCCAGAAGGGAAAGGGGCCTGGGTGGAGGGGGAAGGGGAAGGAATTGGGGGCCAGAGAACTCTCAGGAAGGGGTTTGAGCCCTATATCTGTTCTCCAGAGCAGGTGACCAGGGTGGAGTCACTGAGCCCTGAGCTGAGGGGGCAGCTGCAGGCCTTGCTGCTGCAGAGACCCCAGCACTACATCCAGACCACAGGCACCAGGCTCTGCTGGGGTGAGAGGCTCTTCCCTGGGCCCAGGACCAAGACCCTGGGGTGGGAGGGTCCCAGCTCTCCCCTGCACCATCCTGGGCCAGAGGAAGCTGTTGGTAATGCTGTGGGGAGAAGACTGGGTGGGTGGGGTTGAATCATAGCAGTAGAATTCTATGAAGCGGTGTACTTAGTAAGTACTGTGCCAAGAGCTTTACATGTAGTATCTCATTTAACCTTCAAAACCACCCTGTAAGTAGTGCCACAATTATCCCCATTTTAGTGATGAGAAAACTGAGGGAAGAGTGTGCACTAGTTCTCGCAGCTTGTCAGTGGCAAAACTGGTTAGGGAGCCCTGGTGGATCCACCCCCAAAGCCTTTGCTCTTTGTCACTGCATAATCCTGGTTTGTAGGATCTACCCATCAAAGAAAGTCTTCTTATGATGAGGAAGCTCCCTTGAAGGAACAGGTTTGTGGCTTTTCCCTGGGCAGGGCTAGGAGAAGGGTTAGGAATGAACAAAGCCCACCCTCTACTGGACCTCTCGTCAAGTGAGATCCTGCCTTACCCAAATAACCTTTTATACTCTGTGTCTCCTCGAACTCCCACTCAGCATCAGAACCCCCTGAGACAGAGGCTGCCTCCAGGGGCTGAGGCAGGGACTGTGCTGGCTGGAGAGCTGGGCTCCCTGGCACAGCCACTAGGGGCCTTTGTTCGACTGCGGGATCCAGTGGTGCTGGGGCCCCTCACTGAGGTGCCCCTCCCCAGCAGGTGAGGCTACTGAGTGGGATACAGGACCCTGCAGCCCAGATGAAGGGTCTCTACTGGGGAGGGGACAGGGGGTCTTCACCCCATTCTCTGAGGATGTGTGGGGATGAAGCTCAGAGGTCTGGGGAGGGGGGGTGGTCAGGGATGCGGAGCAGATGTGCACGTGAGAGTGTGGATGGGTGCTGGTCGGGAGATCAGAGCTGAGCATCAGAGGCCAGGGCTGCCCCATGGGAAAGCAGCCTCCCACCCACTCTGGGGCCTGGTTCCTTCCTCAGGTTTTTCTGCCTTCTCCTGGGCCCCCCCATGCTGGCAAAGGGCTACCATGAGATGGGCCGGGCGGCAGCTGTCCTCCTCAGTGACCCGGTGAGCTGGGCAGGTGTGTGTGTGTATGTGCACGCGCATAGGCTCATGTGAGTGTGTGAGCTTGTGTGTGGACAAAGCCCAGAGAGTGGCTTTGTGTCCATGAGCATGGGGACTGAAATTTCCTTGGCTCCGCAATATAGCGGGAGCCATTACTGGCCTAGTGCTGGCACACATTAGGCACTCAATGGATACTCATTGAATACATGAATGTGTGAATGACCGGTTTGCCTATGTGACTCGTGTGTGTCTAGTTTTGAGACTGTGAAAATGCATGCAGGAGTCCAGATGTGCATTTACCACTCATTCTGAGCCCCTGTTCCCAGCAATTCCAGTGGTCAGTTCGCCGGGCCGGCAACCTTCACGACCTTCTGGCAGCTTTAGATACCTTCCTAGAGGAGGTGACAGTGCTCCCTCCAGGTCGGTGGGACCCGACAGCCCGTATTCCTCCACCCACATGTCTTCCCTCTCAGCACAAAAGGTACCTGGGGGCCATTCATCCCAGATCCTTCCCCACAGGCCCTGGGTCTAATCCCACTGTTAAGGAGAGGTGGGGTCCCAGGAAAGAGAAAAGGACCTGTCTTTGGATTTGGAGGTCAGCAGACCTAACTCTGAGTTCTGCTAGACAACTCTCTCGCTATGAGACCTGAACAAGGATCTTCCCCTGCCCAAGCCCGGCTTTCACAGGTCACAGTATGACCTGTCCCTTAGGTTGAGGCCCACGTCTCCACGGTCAGAACCTGGCTCTTAGCCGCAGAGACACGAGCAGCCGCCAGGGGGCAGGGCGCCATGAGCTCCGGGCCTAGCAGCGGACAGGCTGGAGATTCTCTGCCAAGCTGAGATTCCCCTTCTCAGGCTGCTCTCTCAACTGCGCGAAGTCAAGGGCATCACCGCCCCGCATGTGACCCGGCCTGAGGACAGGCACCGCCACGGGCTGCAGGCATCCAGCCCGGAGCTGCAGCGGACCGGCAGGTGAGGCGAGCTGGGTGGGAGCAAGGGTTGGGGTCACAGGGGAACAGAGGTGTGTGCTCACTGTGGCAGTGGCTCACCCGGCCACAGGGAAAGTAGCGGGGACGCGGGCGTGGGGTGTGGAACCTGGATCCTGACGACCCACGGGCGGGAGGCTGTTTGGGGGCCTTGTCCAGGATGTGCGCAGGAAGGCCTCGTGGTACCCCAGCGATTTCCTGGACGCCCTGCACCCCCAATGCTTCTCGGCTGTGCTCTACATTTACCTGGCCACCATCACAAACGCCATCACTTTTGGTGGTTTGCTGGGAGATGCCACGAACGGTGCCCAGGTGAGTGGGTTGTGTGAAGGGGACAGGCACAAGCTTCGGTGTCCCGCCAGCTAGTCCCCTTCCCCTGGGACTATGGGTGAGTGAAGGAGGCTTCCTGGAAGCTCGGGCTTCTGTACTGAGGACTACAGGGTACTGTGCTGAGCGCCTTTCGGCTTCCAGGGAGTGCTGGAAAGTTTCCTGGGCACAGCGGTGGTTGGAGCTGCCTTCTGCCTAACGGCAGGCCAGCCCCTCACCATCCTCAGCAGCACAGGGCCAGTGCTGGTCTTTGAACGCCTGCTCTTCTCCTTCAGCAGGTAGGAGAGCTCCTCCCACCTCACTGGACCCTCACTGGCTGCTCCTCAGCCTGCTCCTGGCTGGTTCAATAGGAGAGGGTGGGAGCTATCTGTCTGGCTCGAGTGGCACCTGACCTGGATTAGGTGGGGAGCAGATAGCCTTACCAAGCCCTGCCTGTCTCTCACCCTCACAGAGATTACAGCCTGGACTACCTGCCCTTCCGCCTGTGGGTGGGCATCTGGGTGGCTACCTTTTGCCTGGTGCTGGTGGCCACAGAAGCCAGTGTGCTGGTGCGCTACTTCACCCGCTTCACTGAGGAAGGTTTCTGTGCCCTCATCAGCCTCATCTTCATCTATGATGCCGTGGGCAAAATGCTGAACTTGGCCCATGCCTATCCCATCCAGAGGCCTGGGTCCCCTGCCTATGGCTGCCTCTGCCAATACCCAGGCACAGGAGGTAGGTGAGGGAAATAGGAGCCTTCGGTAGGTTAGGAAGGATTTGTGTGTGGGGGGATTGTACCCTGACTGTCCCCACTGGTGAAGTTCAGCAAAATGCTGAGTATTTTTTTACCCAATTAATCAGCAGTGCTTTCCCCACTCTGGTTCTGAATCAATTGAGAAATAAGACAAAGGAGGGCCCAATATCATCTTAATTTCTAATAACACTGATAAAAGAACATGGGTTATATATATGAATGGGCTTCCTAATGATGAAGCCAAAATTAGATAGACTTACCCACCCAGTCATGGCAGCCCTAGACACCACTGTCTTGCCCCAGGGGAGCAGAGCCAAATGCACACACCGAGCAGGCAGCTCATATCTGAGTGAGGGGAGAGGAAGGCATGCCCTGCTTCATCTCCCAAACTCACCAATCAAATAAACCACTGCTCTTCTCCTGGGTAAGAGTGACCGAACAGGAGGAGAGTGGCCTGGAGAATTGCACTTGCATATGTCCCTCCACATGGAAGGCAACACCAGGACTGAGGAAGACGTGTCCTATCTATTGTGTGCCAGACTCTGTGCTAGGCATGGACAAGACCAGTTCTGGCCCTGGTGGAAACACACAGATGTGTGTGCTCATCCATTCAGCCAACATGTGCTGAGCATCAGCACAGGTTCTGTGCTTGGCACCATGGGTACAGATGGGTGGAGAATTTGAGGGGATGAGGGCATGAGACAGTGTCCTGAGGAGTACACACTTGGTAGTGATGGAGTCAGCAGATAGATGAGTCACAACTAAGAACTCTGTGGTTCAGCTGGACCCATAAGATTAGAATCCTGTGGGACTAGAGAAGGTTCCCAGTGAAGGGGGCATACACCTGAATTCTCTGCTTCCTAGGAAATGAGTCTCAATGGACAAGGACAAATCCAAAAGACAGAGATGACATCTTAATCATGGTGAGGGACTGTTACTAGGAGGGTTTGGGAAAGAAAGGGTGGAGGCCAAAGTACTGGTTCCTAGCTCTTCTCACCCCACAAGCTAGGGAAACCTTCATGGGTCACTGAGGCTCAGCCATTTCTAGGTCTCTATGGCTGGAGACCTCCCATCCTGGGCCCCTGGTTCCTCCGTGGGTCCTCCTTCCCTCGAGGTAGGTTTAGGAGAGCAGGATGTTTACTTTGCTGCCCGTAACCCCATCCCTGACCACCCCTCCATATAGGACCTAGGCCTGATCAATGCATCCTTGTTGCCTCCGCCTGAGTGCGCCCGGCGAGGTGGCCTCCCTCGTGGCCCTGGCTGTCATACAGTCCCAGACATCGCCTTCTTCTCCCTCCTCCTCTTCCTTACCTCCTTCTTCTTTGCCATGGCCCTCAAGCATGTGAAGACCAGCCACTTCTTCCCCTCTGTGGTGAGTGTCACCTTTCTTTCTGTGGGAAAGGCCTAGCTCTTGGTCTTGGGTCCTGTCTGCAAACGGGAAAGATGTGGAAGAAGGGGGATGGCAGGCCTGAACATGACTGAGTCTCCACTGTGTTGCCAGGTACGCAAGGTACTCAGCGATTTCTCCTCAGTCCTGGCCATCCTGCTGTGCTGTGGCCTTGATGCCTTCCTGGGCCTAGCCACACCAAAGCTCCTGGTGCCCAGAGAGTTCAAGGTGAGAGATGGGGAGGAGGGTGGGTATAGAGGGGAAAGCAGGGCCAGCAGACCCTGGAGAAAGAAGATGTATAAATCCCACACTTCTGTTCCTCTAAGCTTCTTTCCTCACTTGTAATCTAGAAATAGTAATAATAATGGCCTCACAGAGTTGTCATGAGGACTAAATGAGGTACTGCAGCAGACACATAAGTGAGAACATAACACACAGTAGCCATTATTAGAGGGTAGAGGTTAAGAGGATGGGTTCTGGTCAGCCAGCCCTGAGTTTGAATTCCAGTTCTACAACTTCCTAGCAAGGCAAGTTAATGCACACTTCTTTGCCTCAATTTTTTCATCCATAAAATGGAAATAATAAATGCCAATAGTTCCTATTCTATCAGTTGTTTTATGGAAGATCATGAAGCATTTATCACAGTGCTTGGCACATACCAAGTCCTTAATAAATGTTAGCTATGGTTGTTATGGGCTCTCTCTACTTTGGGCCTGGCCCTGCCCACTCTACTACTCTTCACTCTCTCTTTGCACACTTATTGCCTGCTCTGATCCAGTAAAACTGACGCTCCCTCCCCTGAGCATGACAGTGTGCAGGATAAATCTTAGCACTGACTCTCAGACTTTGCCTGTGCATTTGGAGATCTCCTCTCCAGCTTTCTCCAGGACGGGAGAGCAGTGGGGGCTCCAACTGGGGCAGGTTCTGGGGTCCCCTCCCCCACACAGACGCTTGTAATGAGAGCAGATGCAGACACACCCAGCCCTTCTCCTGCCCCTGACCCAGATCAAGGCAGGTCTAAGCCTGACTTGCCCCACCCTGGATGGGGGGGGCTAGGGAAGAGGGATCTGAATACCAAGAAGCATAGGCAGGCACCATCCACCACCTCTTCCTCCTCTTCCAGGGATGATGGGACCCTGAACCAGAGGGTTCAGAGCCCCTGGCGCCAGCCCAATCTCCAAGCTGGTACCCCTCCCTCTTTTAAGGGACAGGGATGCTTTGAACCAGCTGTGTACACACACACCTAGCATCCAGTGTCTCATGGCTGGGCGAAGGGAGGCAGGTTGTGGAAGAATGCCAAGACTAAGGTGTGCAGGTGAGATGCTCTTGGGAGACCCTCTCCAACCTGTCTGTGGAATACTCCTCTTGCAGCCCACACTCCCTGGGCGTGGCTGGCTGGTGTCACCTTTTGGAGCCAACCCCTGGTGGCTGAGTGTGGCAGCTGCCCTACCTGCCCTGCTGCTGTCTATCCTCATCTTTATGGACCAGCAGATCACAGCAGTCATCCTCAACCGTGTGGAATATAGACTGCGGGTAAGGCTTGCTGGGTAAGGCCCGAGACCAAAGGACAGAAGCTCCAGGGTGGGGTCCAAGCTCCTCCTCTCCCAACTCAGAGGACAGAGCGCCTAGGCCTGGGCTAGCTTCATCCTCATTGCCCCCACCACTACCTGCAGAAGGGAGCTGGCTTCCATCTGGATCTCTTCTGTGTGGCTATGCTGATGCTGCTCACATCAGTGCTTGGGCTGCCCTGGTATGTCTCAGCCACTGTCATCTCCCTGGCCCACATGGATAGTCTTCGGAGAGAAAGTAGAGCCTGTGTCCCCGGGGAGCCTCCCAGCTTCCTGGGCATCAGGTGAGGCTGGTATTCAGGAGGCTGGAATGAGAGGTGGGCAGCAAGATGGGGTAGTGAGGTGCATGGCAGTGTTATTTGGGCAGCTTAATTCTAAGCTGGTGCCCCAGAAGCACTGCAGTGGCAGAATGGGTGGGTTCTGGGCTCTGCATTGGGTGAGTCAGATCTTCCCCTCTCTTCCTTCAGCCACGTGGACTGGGAGGGGTCTCAGGAGGAGCACCATCAGTGTAAGGGTTGAAGTGAAGGTGCCCCACTCAGTGTATAGGTTACAAAGGAATCCATTTCCAAAACAATTTTGTAACTGTTGGAAACACAATCTGTCTAAAGTATACGGAATCAACTTTGTAAATTGTGAAATCTAAGTCTTCACAGCAGTGTAAAACTTGCTAATTTTCCATCAAAATAAAAATGAAGAGCAACTATGAACTTGAATTGATGGAGAGGCCTGGGACTCTCATGTTGAAGTGCTCTGCCCCTTCCTCTCCATCAATTTTTCACATAAAACTAAGGGTCCCTCCCTCAAGGTGACCTATTGGGGTATCCCTCTAGTTTCCATTTGCTACCAGGGTCTGTACTGGTGTCTGGCCAGGATCTCCAGCCTAGATGCCCCAGGGGCTCTCCTAGAGCAGAGCAAACTCCTCTTTCTCCCCACAGGGAACAGAGGCTGACAGGCCTGGTGGTGTTCATTCTTACAGGAGTTTCTATCTTCCTGGCACCTGTACTCAAGGTACCTTTGTTAGGCTAGAATCAGGGTCATAGCAGTAATAATAATATGTATGGCAAGAACTGACACTTACTGTGTGCCAGGCACTGTGTTAAGTTTTCTCCATACCTGATCTCATTCAATCCTCATATTAACCCTGAGAAGCATATATACTTAGCAAATGAGGAAGCGGAAGATTAAAGAGAGAAAGTAACTTGCAAGAGCCCACCAAGAGAGTCCGTTTCTCAGATCTATGTGAGAACTCAAACTCTTATCCAGTGGCTTTCTACCCAGTGGGGCAGAGTGTGGGCGTGCCACCACCATCCCCTAGGGGCCAAGTGCTACCCTTGCTTCAGCCTCCCAACAAGCCTAGGAGTATGGTTGTCATACCCCACAAAAGTTTGAAGCAAAAATCTTCACTTCTCCCTCACCAGAGGTTTATAGAACATCTGCCGTGTGCAAGACTCTGCTGGGTACCTGGGAGAAGTCGGGGGGGCAGGGGAATATTGAAAAGGATTATGGAACCAAGCCCCTACCAGCAACACACAGAAACAAAAATTAAGTAACAAGTAATAGCAGAAAGGTTCAACAAGCCAAGACAGCAAAGCAGTCAAGGAGGGTGTGGAGAGTATCAGACAAGAGTCTCTGGCAGGATGACAAGAGGTTAGGGAAGGGAAAGGTCATGGAGGCTGGGTGAGAGTGGAGCAGCAGAAAGAGCCAGATGGACCGGATCAGCCAGTTACTAATTAGGTGGCTCTCATTCAGCAGATATTTACAGAGCATAAGCCTTATGTCAAGCACTGTTCTAGATATTGGGGGTATAATGGTGGTCAAAAGAGATCATGTTTCTATCCTTGCAGTCTGGTGAGAGGAGACAGGTTTTTAAATATTAGAACAAGAAAATAGGATAATTTCTATGAAAAATAAAAGAGGATAAGGCGATGAAGAGTGCCAGGGGCTACTTTAGATCAGGTGGTCAGTGAAGGCCTTTCTAGGGTGTCATGACATGAGGCATGAGTAGTAAGAAGGAACTGGCCATGCAAAAGTCTGGGGAAAGAGCATCATTTTAGGTAGAACAGCAAAGCAAAAGGGTTTGCAAGAGGTAAGAACAAACTTGGGCATGTTGAGGGAAGGAAAGGAGGCCAGTAGAGTGGAAGCATAAAGAACAGAGGAGGCTATGATAGTTGTTTAATCCCTCTGAAATTCAATTTCCCCATTTGTAAAATGGAGAATAATAGAATTTATTTCCTCTGATTGATGTGAGGATTCAATGAGATCAGACTTGAGAAGCGTGAAAGGAAAGGGAAGGCCTGGGCAGGCTTGGATGCCAGATGCTAGGCAGGGGTTGGAGCCTAAGGTTGGGCATCTGGGTGGTTGGCAGAGGTAAACTCCTCTGCCAGCTCTCCAAATCTTTCTACCAGTTCATCCCAATGCCTGTGCTGTACGGCATCTTCTTGTACATGGGGGTGGCAGCACTGAGCAGCATCCAGGTGAGCCCATTAAAATCACCTAGCAACTCCTTTTTTCTTTCCTGCTGGCATCTCCTGCCTACACTTGCCAGTTTTCCTCCTCTCCTCTTTTCCTATCTCTCCTGGGCACAGGGACTCTGTTGCCATGCTCTGGATGGGGAAAAGCCAAGGGAGCAACCTGCCTCTGCAGCACTATGCTGGCTGAGACAGCTAACAGTGATACCCTTCTGTCAGGCTACCTGAGTGTCCTGCTTTCCTTTTGCTCTTTTCCCCCCAGTTCATGAAAAGAGTGCAGCTACTGTTAATGCCAGCAAAGCATCAGCCAGACCTGCTGCTCTTACGGCATGTACCCCTGAGCAGGGTCCACCTCTTCACAGCCATCCAACTCTCCTGCCTGGGTCTGCTTTGGATAATCAAGTCTACCCCTGCAGCCATCATCTTCCCCCTCATGGTGACTTGGGTCAGGGTTGAGCAGTGTCCTGGGGGGTCCTGGGAGACTCTGGGCCTGGAAGGGTGGCCAAGGCCTCCACAAGAGGAAGAATCTCCTCTCTATCACTTGCTAGGCTCTGCGTGGTTGAGAATCCTAAGACAAAGAAAGGTGGCAGAGGGACACCTAGAGACGGGCTAGTCCTGTAATACCTGATTCAACTCCTTTCTCAACCTCTTTGGGTTGATCAACCACAGATAGGAATATAAAACCTAGAAGAAAACTGAGGTCCTAGGAGAGGAAATGCTGACCCTTTTGTTAGTCAGTAAATAAAAACACAGGTGGCTTCTGGCATCATTCTTACTCACTGAGGAAGTTAGGAGGCTTGGGCTTTGCAGTAGAACCAATCTGCTTATCACATCCCAGTTGTGTGACCTCCGGGAAATAACCAATCTCTCAAGGTCTCAGTTTTCTTCTTTGTACAATGGGAATAATTATTGTACCTACCTCATAGGAATGTTTTAGCATTCAGTGAAGCTGATATACAATGCCTAGCACATAGGAAGTATTCAATAAATGTTACTATTATTAATGTTTCTGCTGCTGTTGCTGACAGCCCTGGGCTATGTTTCTGTTCCTGCAGTTGTTGGGCCTGGTGGGGGTCCGAAAGGCACTGGAATGGGTCTTCTCACCACAGGAACTCCTTTGGCTGGATGAGCTGATGCCAGAGGAAGAGAGAAGCAACCCTGAGAAGGTGCTGGAGCTAGAGCACCCATTCAGTGGAAGTGACAGTGAAGATGTAAGCTCCAGGCTGGGTCTTCCAAGGGGAATGGGACAGGGGTTGGGAGAGCCCTCTTATCTAGGAGCTGTGCTAAATATCTCCATTAAGCCTGAAGATCTGATTAATGCAGTAACTCCCCTTAGCCTCTGTATTGACATAGGTAGATTGAAGGGTTGAGGGAAATTTTTCTTCAGAGGACAGGGGCCCTGGTTTATGACCCCATGGGGGTGGAAAGGGCTCAGGTAACAGCTCTAATGGGCTGTCTTTTTCAACCCTGGTCTTTGTTTTGTCTTGTGGTGGGTTTATATCCTGCCACTGGGTCCCTTCCTCTGTGCTTATCTCTCATGGTCTCTGTCTTTCTGTCTATTCCCAACCTATCTTGGGATCTCTCTCCCACAGTCAGAGCTGATGTATCAGCCAAAGGCTCCAGAAATCAACATCTCTGTGAATTAGCTGAAGTAGGAGTCTGGGAGTGGAGAGACCGGGAAACTGAGCATGAGGTAAGGGTGTGAGGGAAGTGCTCCTGGTGTTGAGGATGGGTAGGTGCGGGCTCAGACCTTAGAAACCTCCAGTGTGATGACCAGCCCTGTTTTCTCTTCATACTCTTCATACTCCAGTCCTTTAGGAGACCTAGAGTGGGGAAGGAGGGGTAGAAAGGTCTGTCCAGAGGGAAGAATGAAATAGGCAAGGGTACCTGGGCTTGGCTCTCTGCAGTTCTGAAGTTGGGTCAGTAGAGGGAGTTCAAACTTACACCAAATGGGATATGGAGATGGAAGGTTGTGGGGGGCAGTGTAGAGGCAGGTGTAATGACAAAAGAATGGGATGGAGTGGGGAGAAGAGGAAGGGAGGATAAAACCTATGTTCCTTCCCCTAGCCTGGGAGGCTCCTCCCCTGGGCTGCTGAGCACCATACTCTAGACAAGTGGAGGGATTCTTTATTACTGACCCTCTCTGCCATTCCTTCATTTTATTCATCCATATAGCAAGCATTTTCTGAGTACCTATCATAGAGTATCTTGATACTAGAGATACAGTGGTAAGACAACCATAGTCCCAGACCTAAGGAAGCTTAAGTCCCAGTGGGAGAGTCAGACAAACAAATAGGCAACTGTTAGAGTGGAATAGTGCTGGATAAGGGAAGCACAAGCACTGGGAGCAGAAGCCTCTAACTCCTTCTTGAAGGGTAGTGAAGGTGGAGTGGTATGAGTTGGTGAAGGGTCATGGGAGGAAGTGGTCTATAATTTGAAATCCAAAGAATGAATAGAAGCTAGTTAGGTAACTGGGCCTAGTGGTGTGTGCCTGTAGTTGCAGCTACTCAGGAGGCTGAGGCAGGAGGATTGCTTGAGGCCAAGAGTCCCAGGCTGTAGGGTGTGATGATAATGCCTTGAATAGCCACTGCACTCCAGCCTGGGCACATGGGAAGACCCTGTCTCAGGGGAAAAAAAGGGAGCTAGGATAAGATGGAGGGAAAATGTTCTAAGCAGAGGCTACAACATGTGCACAAGCCTGGGATTATTTGCCCTTGATAAGCTGAACTCTCTTTTGGGCCACAGAACACACTCCTCTTCATGGTTCTGCAAGCCCAAGAATCTAAGAGCCTCCACCACTTGCAATGGGAAATTTGGTGGGCTAGAGGCACAAAGGGCAATTTACTGGCTGGCCCAGAACAAGATCTCCTGGGCTTTCCTTATGCCCTATCATTCCTTTTGCTCTGTTATTTGCAGTAACATGTCTTTGAGCACTTGCTCTGGCCTCACCATGTCTTCTCTCAGTTCACAGGTGTTTACTCACGAAGTCAGGACATTGTTGGCCTTTGGCTTAAGTGCTAGATGCTCAATCAGCTGGGGACCCGGAGCAATGGGGCAAGACTGAAGGGCAGCTGGCCAAGACCTCGGTTACCTCCTGAGCTGGAGTGGAGAGTGGCAAGGAGCAAGTAGGTTAGCTGTGTGCTTAGGAAAGCTGATGAGCTAGAAGGACTTATCAGGCCCCATTCACTCTCCACCCATTAAAGAGACCTGAGCCCAGAAGCCCTTCCCAATTTGAACTTTCTGTTCTCACAAATTCTCCTTTTACAGAATCTTGGGGCCATCAGAGAACTCTTTTCTCCTTGCAAAAAGGAGAAAAATTCCCTCTTTCTAGAATAAATATTCCTTTATTTGAAAAGATTTTTACACATATAAAAAAATCCTTATTATTGTTTTTTTTGACCACAAAAGTAAATGAGGTTACCAGAAAATATTGAAACAGAAATGTACACAGAATTATATAATTCTGAAATGGATACCATCCCGGAATACCTAGTGTTCATATTTTAGTGTATATTGTTCAGTTTTTTTCAATGGACACATTAATATTTTTATTAAAATGGGATTATACTGTGGAGTTCTGCAATATGGTTGTCACTTAATATGCATTGGATATATTCCCCATGTCAGTACACATGTATCTACCTGATTCTGTCATCTGCATAGAATGAATAATCTTATATATTGAAAAAGATACCACATCTACAAAAGAGCATATATGAGATGTCTTCTGCAAGTGCAAGAATTTCTCTAGAGTATATACCTAGGAGAATTAAAGAATAATGATGAAAAAAAGACCTGTGTATCTAGCACTCAGGCTAAGAATTAGGGTATTTCTAGTACCTTAGAAACTCCTCTACTCTTTATGTCCTTTCCATATCATATCCCTCTTCCAGGTAAACATTATCCTAAATTTTATAGTAATTGTTCTCTTGCTTTTTTTTTTATAGTTTTAACACTTATTTATGTATCCTTATGTATATGTATGATCATTCTGCCTATTTTTGAATATCATATAAATAGAATCATAGTACATGAATTCTTCTGTGACTGCTTCTTTCACTCAACATTGTTTTGTGAATCAATTGTGTTGATGCATATAGTTGTAGTTTGTTCGTTTTCATTGCTATATAGCACTGCATTGTATGACTTTACCACAATTCAATTATCCATTTTTCTATTGATTCAAAGAATTCATTGGTGAAGCCACTGGGGCCTGGAGCTTGCTTTGTGGCAAGCTTAAGTTGATTTAAATTTTTTATTATAATTTTCAGGCTCTTTATTTCTTCTTTAGCCAGTTTTGGTGAATTGTATTTTTCCAGGAATCTTTTCATTTTATCTAAGTCTTCATATTTATTGATATAAAGTTATTAAAACCCTTATCTGTTTAATCTCTGTAGCACATTTAGCTATGGTTCCCCTATCATTTCTTTTTTTTTTTTTTTTTTTGAGACAGTCTCGCTTTGTTGCCTAGGCTAGGGTGAGTGCTGTGGCATCAGACTAGCTCACAGCAATCTCAAACTCCTGGGCTCAAGCAATCCTTCTGCCTCAGCCTCCCGAGTAGCTGGGACTACAGGCATGCACCACCATGCCCAGGTAATTTTTTCTATGTATATTAGTTGGCCAATTAATTTCTTTCTATTTATAGTAGAGACAGGGTCTCGCTCTTCCTCAGGCTGGTTTTGAACTCCTGACCTCAAGCAATCCGCCCGCCTCGGCCTCCCAGAGTGCTAGGATTCCAGGTGTGAGCCACCGCGCCTGGCCCATTTCTAATATTATTTATGCATTCTCTTTTTTTGTTATTGGTAACTCTTCCAAATTATTTTATTAGCCTCTAGAGAGCAAGTGTTGTCATAGCTCACTACAACCTCAAACTCCTGGGCTCAAGTGATCCTCCTGCCTCAGCTTACTGAGTAGCTGTGACTACAAGCCTGTGCCACCACACACAGCTAATTTTTCTATTTTCTGTAGAGACAAGGTCTCACTATGTTTCCAGGCTGGTCTCAAACTCTTGGCCTCTAATGATCCTCACATCTTGGCCTCCCAAAGTGCAGGTGTGAGTCACTGCATCTGCCCCCTATTTTTGTTTTTAAATCCAGGTTGTTTTTTTTTTTTTGAGACAGACTCTTGCTTTGTTGCCCAGGCTAGAGTGAGTGCCATGGCATCAGCCTAGCTCACAGCAACCTCAAACTTCTGGGCTCAAGTGATCCTTCTGCCTCAGCTTCCCGAGTAGCTGGGACTACAGGCAGGCGCCACCATGCCCCGCTAATTTTTTCTATATATATTAGTTTTTTCTATATATATTAGTTGACCAATTAATTTCTTTCTATTTATAGTAGTGACGGGTCTCACTCTTGCTCAGGCTGGTTTCGAACTCCTGACCTCAAGCAATCCGCCTGCCTCGGCCTCCCAGAATGCTAGGATTACAGGTGTGAGCCACCGCGCCCAGCCTAAATCCAGTTTGACAATCTGTCTTTTAGCTAGAGAATTTAGTACATTTAAATTAATTACTAATCTATTTGATTTTGTTTTAGTTTTTATTGTCCTGTTTTTCTGTTTCTTTTCCCTTCTCTTACCTTATTTTAGATTGATTGAGCTATTTTTGTCTTTTCTTTTTCTTTTGCATTTTCCTTTCCCTATTTGTTTGGGACATGAGAAAAAAGGAAGTCAAAGATGACCCCAATATTTTTGGCCTCAGCAACAGGAAGAATGGAATTGCCATTGACTGAGTTCATATTTGGTCATTATGATGCCTTTAAGACAATCAAGTAAAGATGTTAAATGGGCAGCTGGACATGTAGATCTGAAGTTTGGGGGGAGATCTGAGCCAGAGATAACAATTTATAAGTTTATTAGGTATAAATTATATTTTAAACATAGACTAGATAATATTGCCAACAGAGTGGGTGCAGTTAGAGAAGAGAGCCAAGGGCTGTGTCAGTGGCTCACGCCTGTAATGCTAATACTCTGGGAGGCTGAGGTCGGAGGATTGCTTGAAGTCAGAAGTTTGAGACCAGCCTGAGCAAGAGTGAGACCCTGTCGCTACTAAAAACAGAAATTATTAGCCGGGCATGGTGGCTAATTTAGTCCCAGCTACTTGGGAGGCTGAGGCAGGAGGATCACTTGAGCTCAGGAGTTTGAGGTTGCACTGAGCTATGATGATGCATGCCACTACAATCTACCCAGGGCAAACAAGACTGTCTTTAAAAAAAGAGAGAGAGAGAGAGATCTAGGACTGAGTCTTACAACACTTCAGTGTTAAAAGGTAGGAGGTAGAGGGGCAACCAGGAAAAGCAGGAGACTGAAGAGTAACCAGTGACATGGAAACAAAACCGAGAGTAAAGAAAGTAAAGTAGGCCAGGCTCATATGATGGCTCACACCTATAATCCCAGCACGGTGGGAGGATGACTTGAGGCCAGGAGCTACCAGCCTGGTTAACATAGCAAGATTCCATCTCTACATTAAAATAAAAAATTTGCTGGGCATGGTAGTGTGTGCCTGTAGTGCCAGCTACTCAGAAGGTTGAGGGAGGAGGATCTCTTGAACCCTAGAAATTGAAGGTTATAGTGACCTATGATTGCACCACTGCACTCCAGCCTGGTTTATGAAGCAAGACTCTGCATAAAAAAAAAAAAAAAAAGAAAAGAAGTAAAGAAAATGTTTCAAGAAACTTTGGGGGTAATTCTAACTCCTCAGTTTTGTGCATCTCATTATGAACTTTGAAGTTAAAATTACATTTAACTTATTATTTTAGTTGTTTTGGTTAGGAAGATTACTCAGAAATTATAATCCATACAATGCCAGAAATGAAAATTCTGCTGGCCCCTTTTTATTAATGTTATAAAAAAAAACCCTCCATATAACAAAAAGCACTTGTACTCCCAAAATTTTTTGAAGTGAAAAAAAAAAAAACAAGAAAAAGAAAAACCCAGGCTGGGCATGGTGGCTCATGCCTGTAATCTTAGCACTCTGGAAGGTCAAGGCAGGAGGATCACTTGAGCTCAGGAGTTCAAGATCAGCCTGATCAAGAATGAGACGCTGTCTCTACAAAAAAAAAATTGAAAAATTAGCTGGGCATTGTGGCCAGAACCTGTAGTCCCATCTACTGGGGGGCTGAGGCAGGAGGATCGCTTGAGCCCAGGAGTTTGAGGTTGCAGTGAGCTATGATGATGCCACTGCACTCTAGCCAGGGTGACAGAGCAAGGCTTTATCTCTAAAAAAAGAAAGAAAAAAAAGAAAAAAAGAAAAAAGAAAGAAAAAGAAAAACCCTAAAATGATAGTCTATCATTAGTCTATCATTACATAGTCTAAGTATCTATTGATTGAGAAAAATACACGCCAAAAGTATTATTTAAGTTTAGACTTTAAAAATAAATGTATATTTTACTAATTTCAACAGTGTCTACATATTGTTGAAAACATGTTCATTTAGACTTATTTAAACATTCAACAAATACTGATTGAACATCAACAATGTACTGTCAGATAAAGTTTCTGACTTCATGGAGTTTACATTATAGTGAAGCAGAGACAAAAAATAAGACAATCTCAAATAATGTGTACTCTGAAGAAATTAAAATAGGGTAATAAGATAAATAATATGATAGAAGACATTACTTAAGATGAGTGTTTAGGGAAGGACTTTCTGAGGAGAACTTTAAGCTGAGATTTGAGTAACAAAGGAGCTAGCTGAATTATCATCTGCCTACAGTCAGGGAGTGGTACAAATACACAGAAATTTAAGTGTACTACAGTACCCTGAGATATTCCTTTCTTGGCTCTAATCCATAGGCTTCAATTTTTCTGTCTGTAAAATGGGGCCAAGAGCCTGGAGTTTCATTCTAGGGTGCTGCAAATGTTAAATGGTGCCTGTAACATTCTTTAAGATCTTTAGATGAAAGATCCAGGGATGTATATAGGGGTATTAAAGGCTCCCAAGCCTCAGAGGAAATTCCTTCGCATCGGTAACCTAGGCTTCTCCTCTCCAGTCTATAGCTGTGGGACAGTGGTTCTCAAACTTTTGTGGGCATTAAAATCAAAGGTTGTAGGCCGGCCCAGTGGCTCACGCCTGTAATCCTAGCACTCTGGGAGGCCGATGCGGGCGGATTGCTCAAGGTCAGGTGTTCGAAACCAGCCTGAGCAAGAGCGAGACCCCCGTCTCTACTATAAATAGAAAGAAATTAATTGGCCAACTAATATATATAGAAAAAATTAGCC